AAGATTATCGAGAGAAGAGTTTTCGCAGCATTTACAGCGGAGTGATAGCTACCCTTTCTGGATGAGGGTGGGAGTTGCATTGTATCCATTGCCTTTAATCTTGTGGATTTCCCTCCACATATTACTCGTGGAGGTTGGCGAGTCAATCGATTCTGCCCAGGCATACAACCTCTCTTCCCGCTTTTGAGTCATTATCTCATTAAGCTTTTTACTAAAGAAAACAAGGTCCCTAGCTAAGTGTTTTAGCTGATATACTGTAGACATTAACTTTCTAAGTAGCTTTATTTGAGGATCTTTGTTAAGGTGATATGCGCGTTTGCCCTTTGTCTGGCAGGGTTTCTGAGTTGGAGTTGGTAGGAATAGTCTTCATACCAGCAGCTAATCCTTTAAAAAAAACTCATGGTATTTAGTAGCAAGATGGTATCGCAGACGTGGCTAGGGCGAGCTTCTTTTAGCAAATGGGAGTGATAATTAATGCCCAAAGATCACCGACTAAGAAATGGACAACTTTCGCAGTGCTTGGGAGTGTGTGCTGATTGTATAGAGCTATATAATCTAATCTGCTACCTAGATAATGAGTCTTTTCAAATGGGTATAATAGGTGTATGGGGTCCCTGGTGTTTTGAAGATAATCATAATAAAACCCTACCGTTTTTACCTATGGTGCTTCCCTCATAGCAGAGGAGAGGATGGCGAGCATTAAAATCCCCACACAGTAAGATAGTAGCATTATCTATCATACTGTCGGGAGGTTTAGGTACCACTTCACTATCACGCAGGTTTTATACATTAATGATGGTGATGGTTTTACCATCAAGAAATATTTTAACACCAAGTTATTCAGCACATGTATTGCCACGTTTATCATCGATCACTTTTGATGGAATACTATTTTTAATGGAAATATCAAGTCCGCTTGTAGAGGGATTATCAATATTAAGTCTGTCGTGATATATGTATCCTGCATTTTTTGCATAACGAGCATCAGTTCTAACCTCCTGAAAGCAACACACATCAACATCTTTGGAGTGAAAATACTGAGCGAGGACCGCCTTGCGTTTCTGCAAACTGTTGATGTTTCAGGTAATACATTTCAACTGATTATTTTGATCCATCGATCATCACTTGGCCGTTCCAAGGCCCACTGTAGGTTGATGATGCCGTTGCTCGAGGAGGGCAAAAATCCTTTCCTGGAACTGCATCATCTGTTGCTGCATCGTGAACATCATCTTGTACATTTGTATAAGATCCTTCATTTCCCTGCTGGACTCTTGCTTGTCCTGCTGCAGTGAGGGATGAGCTGGTGCTGCAGCTGGTGACGTGGCCGGTGCCATGGCTTTATTTGCAGGGGCCATCACTGTTGACCTCTGCAGGTGTGGGAATTACCCCCACATCATTAAGACGAGGGGCTGGCCGGGGTTTCTCAGGGCTGCCTGCTTTGTTTGATTGGTTGCTTTTCTGTCCTTTGGGTAGTGGTCGCATAATGGAGAGTTGGCATTATGCTCCTGACGGCAGTTCACCCATTTCCGAGGGGTGATTTTGCCTTTGGAAATCTTTTCTGCGCACTCTGAGCTTTCATGTGAAAGTGCGCAATATCGGCACCGCGGTGCTTCTCGTGGACACGCACGTGCTCCGTGTCCCCACTTTGAACAATTAGAGCAAAACGGGGTCAGGGATTTGAAGACGGCACACCTGAAGGGTGCCACGCCCTCAACCATTTTGATAGTTTTTGGGATTACCTCCTCCTCTGGGTCATCAATCCACTCACTTTCATGTGCTTGGCATGTACAACGCTTCATTATACGACGTCATTTCTTCAGTTTCGATTTCCCTCGGGACGTCGAACACAATCACGCTTGTGTATTTGCCTTTTCCATACACTTTTGCCTTTTCTAAAACTTCGCCACCTGCACCGGCAGTGGTTATGTGGACAAGAATTTGTTCGTTCTTGCACCTCACATACATTGTCCCTTCCAATTTTAAGTTCAATGGATCCCTTTGTCTTATTGTAAGGGTCCAATTTTAAGGCCTGGGATACCCACCGATATCTTTCTCCGTGTGTTCGAAGCTTGGTGTCGGCTTTGAAATGTGCGCACAGCTGGCCAGGGGGCGCAGCTTCCACAGAGGCAGGTAGTTGCCTCTTGTCCTTTTTCTTTGTTGGTTCCTGGGGGAGGCCACTGATATCTTCCTCGCGGAGGACACCATACCTGCTTTCAGTTTTCATGGGCGTGTCTGTCACCATTGTTCCGTTTGTGGGCGGGGTCATTCCCCGAGGATACAGGGCCCGACCTGACCTCCCTTTGCAGACTCAGCTATACGCCGCGCCTACACAGCACATCTGTGAACGTACTTAGTTTTTTTTACTTTTTTCACTATATGGTATATAGATCACTTTACAATCAGAACAAATGATAATGTGAAAAATTATCGCACACTGGAGCAATGTACGACTGGTAGGTCTCTGAAGACCTTAATTGTCAAGATAACAGAAATCCCGAAAGGACAGGTCAAGGTCACGTAGGGTCACTTAGCATGTCTGCATACTATGCTGACAGGATAATGGCCCCGCCGGAAGAAAGCAAAAAAGGTGATAAAGGAGCCTTTGCATGTATATTACATGCCACATTTAGTTGCTGGGGCGTATATATTCTTTTTTCAACTTTATCCCGATCTGCATAAATACATAGTCTTCATTAATCTTGCCATTATGAACGTCATCAATCTTATTATTACTGTATTTAATGGATAATTATTCATCTCTGGTGTTATGCTACTTTTTTGCTGTACACAACCCTAACAAGAGATCTGCAGGGGTAGATAGCATATTTTGGTGGGACCGAATGGGGCCAAAGTCTGGTATCGAAGCCACCTACCGTGTACCTCTGATCTTGTGTGTTTGGTGAATGAATCCGCCAATAAATGGGGCAATGGAATAAAAAAAAAATTTGAGCCAGACCTGACCGTTCTGTGTAAATGGTTCTAGGATACTATGTCACGGGGAAACTATGTCGCGGACCTAATGTGCCAGATCGCGCTGTGACACAGCATCCGTTTCGCAAGTGGATAAAATGTCGCGGGGAAGGCACGTTGCCATTTATGTCAGTACATCGCTGTTCATTGTCGACAGATAAGATTAGGAAGAAGTGTTGAAATTGCAGCGAAAATAATTTAGTATATAGAATACATAATAACACTTGTATGTGACATAACCATATTTTTTTCCTCTAAGTAATGAAATATTTTGTGATGAGCATACCTTTATTGTTCAGTGGGGATCGCCATTACTTTGGCTATTTGATCCAGATATTGCAAATCTACAATGGTATGTTTCTAATTTTGTAATAAGGGATTTGATCCTCTTATTTACGAGCTGGTACTTCTGACCCGAGGGATGCTTCCTGCCAGCTGCAACCTCTGCACTCAGAAAATTCCTCTGGAAGGCGTTCATTGCTGCCTTCTCAAAATCTGTCATTATTGTCACTGGATTGCATGATAAACCAGGGGATATTAGCTTTACCACCTCGTACATTTAATTATATATCTCTTCATTCTTTCCTGACAAAAATGCATAGACGCAAGGATATGTTATACCACCAAAGTATGCATGGAGTGTGTACTGCTGCTTGTATCCGACAGGGGCCACTTTAAACGTTCTATCACCAAAGCAATGACGAGACGGCAAGAAATTTCAAATCAGTCTGCTGTGAAGATCATCACCTCATCATCTTCATAACGAAGGAAGGCCTCTCCGCTTAACGTTGTCCAAAATGGCTGAAGATCAGACACACCTGCCTTTTGCCGCATTCGCCTCAGCGTCCTCTTGATGGCGTCTACCGTTGTATTAGATGAGCCCAGCCGACTTCAACTCTAGCGTAAAATGTGTTGACAATATGTGCGATGGGCTCTGCTGTTGCGGCAGCACGTTCCTTCATTGCTGCTAGTATCCCCTCCACCTCAGCCTTCCCAGGGACAGCAGGATGTCTGTGGATGGGGTTTTGCCACTTCACTATTTCCCCATTAACGGTGTGAACCCTGGCACCCCAGGTTCTGTCCGCATCTCCACATAACTTTGTCCTGATGGTCCCTTTCCTTCGTAAAGAGATGCTGGCCAACTCTGAGTTTCACAGTCGCCCGGTATGATATTATAATGTGACAGGCCTCGGGGACACTGACAAGAGAAGGTGGGGGAGGGTAATCTTCATTCAGTCCCTCGTACCATGAAACATCGAGCTCGGGGTAGGGTGGTAATGGAAGCTCGGTTGAGTTTTCTCCATGCTGAATATCTCACTCCTTGAAAATTCATTATTATAGCAAGATCACGTGTTGAAGCAGTAGCGGAAGTTAGAGCAATTAGGGTAGGTAAGGTCAGCGGAAACCTCGCGCAACACAGTCACAGCGACACACAAAGTAAGGTCAGCCAACGACCAGGTTATGTGAGGACACCTCGCGCGACACAGTCACCGCGACATAATGTCCATCAGACACTGAATCACCCCCGTCATACAGCTCCGAGACTTTCTTTCCAGGTCATAGTGCCCGCGATACATAGAGACCGTGCACACTCAAAGCACATCAGTAAGTGTGCATGAGTTTTTCACATTTTCAGCTTTAAGTGTATGTGATTTGGATCTCTTTACTTACAGGCCTAATGATTTGTGAACATTTTCATGCACTGGTGCAATATACAGCTGGCAAGTCTATGAAAACCTCAATTGTCAAGGTAACTTAATCCTTTCATGATAGGTCTAGGTCATGAAAGGTCACTATACACCATCTCATTCTATGGTGACGAGACATTGACTGGCGGGGAGGAGGGGTGTACAGCTGAAGTTAAAGAAAAAGAAAAGGTGCGAAGTGAGAGAGGGATCTGAGAGTCATGGAAGCTAATGATATGAGGTTTGGTATGAGGTCTAACTGGAGAAGTGTGTTTAGTGTTATGTAGGTGATTTTTTTTACAAACAAAAAATACTAGTCACCATGTGTAGAATGAAAATAACGAGGATAAAAAAGGGGTTTTATTGTTATAAAGTAGGGTACATTGAATACATCTACACAATAAATAAAAATTGTAAATAAATAAAAATGTAAATAAAATAATTCTCCAAAATCTATGGTTACTTTCCATTTCCACTGAAATAAAAATCTATTCCGCGCTTCTGGCCTGGTGGCATCCAGCTGCCTTTCTGTTTCTTGTTGCTGTTGCTGTTGTTCTGAAAAAAGAGGAACTATATGAAAACTAATCTTGCTAGGAAGAAACAGATTTTTTCCCAGAGAAAATGGCCATTTTTCTCAAAGAATAAGTTTACATAGTCTAATTTATTTGTGTATAATTTTTATAGCTACTAGATCCTTAACAAAATTATCAACAATCATTCTGGAGGAAATTTTCCATTTTACTGCTCTTCATTTTCTTTACCATTTTGTGATCATGGCGTCCCCATTCTGGTGCTATGACAACAGGTTTGGGATAATCTTCGCCTAAGGAGACTCCAGCATTTGTCAATTCTGCAATGTTCATCTTCCACGGGGTGTGGATTCTTGCATTCTTAATGTTCTTGAGTTCTGGGACCCACACGCGTATAAAGTTACCCTGGAAGAACAATTTTTACAAATCTTAGGCATGTGCTCTTTCATGTATCATATATATCTGGTAAAAAGGAAAATATTCCATTGAATCGGTTTCTTTGTGTTAAATCTGTCAATTATTGAAATAAAATTGTGCAGTCAATAAGAATTATCAAAAAGGGTAGTTTCTCATTGTGTTAAAAATGTCAATCATGAAAATACTAATGCATACTCTTGTAAAAATTTAAAGGACAGAAACAAAAGAAAATAGGAAAAAAAAAAAAATGCCTACACCTACCTCAGGATCATAATCCAATCCTTGCTTGACCATGTTGAACTTCCTGTTCTCTCTCGGGTCATTCCCAATCCCTGCTGCGTAGTTCCAGTTGCCATAGTTACTGCACACATCATGGTCAAGCTAAAAAAAAAAAAAGGCAATATGCTTTATTTACTCAATTTTTTTTTTACATAAACGAGGGGATTAACCTATAAAAAGTAAAAATGAGCTTGACTGCTCTCTCTAAAATACATATATTACATGTTCACCATACCTGCTCACCATACCTGAACTAAATCCCCCCCACCCCACTCTAATGAGAAAAGAATGCATTAATAAAAAATACATAAAAATTATATAATATAATGTGCTGCCACCGGGGATGGTGTGTGCAGACTGAGTTTTTGTTTTCACACGCAAATCGCTCTAAAAGTATGTAGTCACAAAGGAGTCAATTACTGGTACTGCCTACCTCCCCTGTTTACCCTTTTCCTTGCTTTTCGGAAATATTTTATTGTCTTGTATTGCTATTAACCCTAAACTGACAGTGCCAGAATTTTCTGTGTGGCACTCATTCTGGTGACAACTGACTAGCCTTGTGAGCAGGGTGTTCGCTCATGAAAGGTAGGCTTTCCATGACGACAAATGCCATGCCCATCAGTAAAGCGTTTATAATGTTAATGACACAATAATAACTAAAATTAATCGGCATCCATTTTGAAAGCCCATAGAAAAAAAAAATCAAAAAAATCCAAAAACCTAAGGAAAGGGTAAATCAAGTAAGGTTCCCAGGTTTACTGACTGACTACTGGTGGTTAAGCACACTAGCTTTTGCAAAAAGCATATAAAAAAGTGAATACATATTCATCCCAATATTAAAGAAAAGTAATACTAACCAACTGAGATTCAAACCACTCGGCTCCAAGTCTCCAGTCAAGACCCAGGTCTTTGAGAAGGAAGGAGGCTACATTCTGACGTCCACGGTTGCTCATCCACCCAGTCTCCTTCAGCTCTCGCATGTTTGCATCGACAAAGGGGACTCCAGTTCTTCCATCTGTGGCAATGATTATGTTCAAATACAACAACAAAAGCTTTTAACATGATTAAAAAATATATATATATGGATAACCCATACTAAGAACAAAGAATATATTCTTTACATTCTGTACATTCTATATACCCTTTCTTTCTTTTTGCTTTGGTGCTGCAGGTAACTTTTACTGGTACTACTTTATGGTCATACAGGAAAAAATAATCCTACATGAAACAGATTATTGAGGATTATCTACCACATCATTAGCTAAGGTTATTTGCAGTACCTAAATTAAATGACTGGATACAATTTGCTATACACCATGAACAGTTAATTCAACAGTTTTAAAATCTTTAACTTTAATAATAAGACATTACTATATTCAGAACCAGCCAGATCCATGAAAAAATTCTATATTTGATCTTGCTTCCCCACAATCCCTTGCTTCTCGTTATTGAGGGAGGGCTTAAGAGACAGAGACTGAACCTTGCTAAATAGATGGAAAACTGGATTTGTACTCCATTTGCTCTTCCCTGTTTACCCTTTTCACTACCATACTAACCTCAAGCACTCAACAATGTATGACATCTATATTTTGTCCTAATGCTTAAAACATTTTAAACCTTTCCATCACAATACTTTATCGTAGTGCTGTATGACCTTTGATGTCTGGCACATCTATTTCTTTATGGATTCCCAGAACGGCTAATGGTCAAAACTTCTTCTTTACCCGATGTCTTCGCCCCTAAGCCTCACTATCACTATATTTTGAATATGCCACTAATTACCTTAGACAGTGACACCGCAGAAAATTTTCAATAACTAAATAAACTGTTCTTGCTACCCTCAATCAATCCTACCTTTCCACATCTCGAAGAGCTGCGCATTCCTCTTCCAGTGGACCTTCTTTCCCATGATTCCAGAGGGGTAAAATACCCTGTCTCCAAATTTCATGCACACAAATCTGGAATCATAGAAACTCAATTTTATTATTTCTATTTTCATTACATTTCAACCTGAAAAGAAAAAGAAAATATATCGCTTCATCTTAGATTGGTTTTGAAACTTACAAATAAGAATATAACAAATGAATTTTGAATTTTTTCATATGTTTATGGTTACTGTTACTGATTGAGAATACTTTTGAAATACTTTAGTATATTTATTAAATATCATAAGAATAACTAATAATAAATATGGTGTATGAGGCAAACCATATGAGAATTCAGCACCCAGGTATAGTTATCAAACATTTCCATTATTTTTAGTTTCATAGTCAAGAGATTTAGCTCACTAGTCTTACCTAAAATAGTCTCTCCAAATCATTTCAAATATCACCCAATATGTGCTCTTGTTAGCAACTCTCTGGCTCTCATATTTCTTGATCTCGTTGAAGATGTAACGTGGAGACAGACAACCATGGGCTAGCCTGAAAAATTGTACAGATTTAGGAAATATCTTAACAGACTTAATCTAATTGACAAAGCACTGTAAATATATGAGAATTATGTAAAATTATTTATATTTACAATTCATACATAATCATCATCAGCAAAATGTCCAAAGCTAGCAACTCCTGCCCATTAGCATACTAAAACCTCTAAAACAACTTGTACAGTATATATGTGAGCATTATTTAAGCCTATGGAGAAGTTAAGTATCACTTGATTTTCATTGGGATCAAAACCTTACCATGGACTGAATTTTGTGGAATAAGCTTCACCCAGGAGACCATTTCTTGTCTCCTTGTAGTTGGCCACATTGTTGGTATCCCAGAGGTAATTCTTGACTCTTGCTAAACCGGATGTCTCACCCCCAGAGAAGGGGAAGGCAGTTCTTTGGTCCATGGGCAATTCTAGGGGTTAAAGAATTATGCCATTCATTAGGCATAAAAGTTGTATGTATATGTGTGCAGGTGGGGTGTGGGAGGTGTGGTGGAGGGGGAATAATACACCTGTTGAATCTTTTCTTTAACAATGCACTATGTAAAATATTCAGGAAAAAAAATGTAAATGCAACAATGTTTTTTACTTTTTTTCATAATAAACAAAGAAGACAGATATATAGAGAATGTGCATTGTTCATAATGTTCTATCTTCTCAACTACAACATCATTACAGAACTATTTATCCTTTTAATACGAGATGGTTCTCTAAAGAATTCCATTACTGCACTAGGAGCTTGGTGGATACACTCCATACTTTGTCATCTTAGTTATTTTAGAAATGCTATGCTACCTTATGTCACTTTTTGCTTCAAATTCCTTCAACAATACATTATGAACCAAGAAATTGCTGGCAAATTAAAATCTTCATTTTCCTAATATATGTGGTACATGCTTTCTTATTCAAATTCCTTCTTTTCCTCAAAACCTGAGAGATTAAAATGAACCATAAATAGATTCTTCAACTCATAAATATTTACATAAATAAATAAATAGACAGTTACTTAATGAATATACATAATTACACAATATCAGATCTTAGACCTATTGGATGCACGAATATGCTCCCATGTAGAAAATTGAGAGCTCAATGCTCAAAGGCCAATTAGGATGGGGCTCTTACACTATTTCCACTGGTAAATGAGGTGGAATGAACCATCCATGAGCTATGACTGGGAGAGAGCCAGCTCAGGATGGATATTATTTAAATGCAAGATCCTATTCCAGCTTGCTGTGACCTATGGTGCAGGGTGCAATATCAAAAATTGAATGACAGGAAAATATTAAAAAATGATAAACACAACAAAATGTTAATTACTGATACTTGCAAAGAGTTGAAGAGTACCTAAAGAGAGATGGAGTATGTGCAAGGGAAACAATGTATCATCATCATGGTACAGCATATAAAAATTAAATGTAAAGGTTGGAATCTGACATAGAAGCAAAAAATCCTTAAGCAGAAAAAGAAACAAAATTGTTACAAACATCAGGCAGGGAATCTTGACGCCTTATGGAAGTGTTCGTGTGGGCTAGGCCAACAAGCCATATAGGCCTACCCAGGAGGGCCTCCCATCAAGTAAGCCTCATGCCCAGATTTTGGACAATGTGCAGGCAGCAAGGCAACCGGACCAATGGGTTAAGCCTGTCATCAGAAGCTAACAAAATATTTACCTTTAAAGAAAGAAAGAAAAGAAAAACTAAATATACCAACCTTCAACTCCTAGTTTAGAGAGTGTGGGGATTTCTCCCAAATCGAGATTCTCAGGCAATGGTTTCAACTTGTCAGGCATATTACACACGCCACGGACTCGGCTCTGGGCTTCTACTGCTTTACGGAAGTTGGTGTATGTGTCTGGGACTCTGGAAACAAAAAAGTTTACATCACTAGTACCACTTTCAAAGACATGGAGTTCTATTCAGTTGCTCATTCATCAGTGTAATAAAAAATCCTATTATTTTGACAGCGTGTTCTTTAGCATTACAGTGTAAACCTATATAAGATTAATCTTTTAAAAATGTCCCTCAGACTAAAGCTTTATTCGATCACTATTACATCAAGAATAAAAAATATATTTACAATGCAAACCAACTTACTTATTGATGGGGAATGGCAGATCTGTCTTGTGATACAGAGTAGCACCCCAAAAGGAGTGCACATTAACACCTGCGTCTTTACACCTGTCACGCACGCTTCGTTCGACATCTTTCTCCTCTTTCGTCACCTATTGAAAAGTTATTGAATCATTTCCAAATTAATGATAATATATATGAAAATAAGAAAATACATACATAGCTTCACAATGACAGATTAATATAAAATAAAATATAGGATTTTAAACTGTTCTGAGTGTATGTCCCCAACAAAGTAAATCACAATGATGATTCAACATATTGCAAAAGTTTGTTACCTCTTCCTGGAACACAAGGTGGGAAGTAGTAGCAGCAACAGACTTTATCAGGAAAGGTAACACCTCTTCTGGTTTACCAATTCGCACCACCAGGTCACTGCAAAAAGAAATAATTATTGTAGAAAACCCTTTCTGGGAAGCATATAGATAGATATACTTATCAAAGCCTAAAGAAAATAAGAAAATTAAATAAAAGACTCTCCTAAGCCATTCGTAACTGAAAATTATCATAAATCTGGCAACGAACAGCTAATGTAAATTCATTTTAAAGAAAAATGTGCAAATCAATGTTGGATATAATACTACTTCATTCAATTCAAGATCGTATAAAAAATTGCAGATTTTAAGAAACCTATAAAAAATCACATTAAAATGATAACACTAGATCAGCTGTTCCTAACCTTTAAACCTTGATGTGTAAGAATTAAAAATTATGAATTAAGAATTAAGAGCACTGTCATTTAATAATAGAATATAATCATTTTACCGTATCTTTCAGAACCCCAAATGGAAATCATTGCACTAGATAAATACAAAAAAAAAAAAATAAAAAAAAAAAAAATAAATAGATAAATAAAAAAAATAAATAAATAACAAATGAATAAATAAATAAAATAAGTAGATAAATAAAAAATAATAAGAAGCTTTATGAAATACCAATGTAATCTTTAGATTTCAGAGATTACAGGTTTCATCAAAAACATAGATCAGTTCAAGAGACAACTACAGATTTCAAGAAACATTAAAATAGATTTGCAATTAAAGATACATTTCAGATTTCATGAGTCAGTCAAAAGTCAGTGCAGACCTTCCTCTGTTCCTTAGTGTTGCCCTTAAGTCCTCTACGCTCTCCTTCAGGAACTTTGCACGATGAGGTCCTGTCTTGGGAAATCCGAAGTGATAGGTGCCTTTGAAATGCCTCGGATCAAAGCAGTAAACTGGAACCACATGATCTGCATTGATATTTGCTTTTGTCAGGATCTGTAATGGAGAAAGAAGGCATTATTAATGCTTTTCTTTGTTGTTTTATTTTGTTTTAACCCAATGGCAATGGGGTTATGTAATGCCCCCTGCAGCATTTTTTTAATGTTGTTCCACACTAAAGGCTCAACAAGTAACTCTAGCCACCTAAGAGTCAATTAGTGGGTTGTAGTGACATCCCAGATTTTCCCATTCCTTGAATTTGTGGGATTTTTATCAACATCAATACTGTTTTTGTAATGGATATCATGATTATTTCTATGTTCTGGGAATACTAACAACAATAAAAACAATATTTTTTGGAAACCATGGAAGTGTAAACTGGTGAGATTAATAGGACTAGTAATTGACTCCTTTGTGAAGAACCCTTTGCTGAACCATCTCTGTGTAAGTATAATTAATGAACTAAAACTGCTCTAGATGTGGAATATTATTTATACCATCCACATCCAATGGGTAAAGACATTCCTTGTGCGAGGAAAATTGAAATGCATCTTCATAACCTCAACGGATTTGATAGTCAGACAAATATCACATCTTCATAAAGTCACTTTTTAGTTGTGCATTATCCTTAGCTTTTACCCAGCTTTGGCATAATATTGTACCTTGGGATTATAGCATCTTTGAACAAACATAAAAAATCTAGAGTAAATTAAATTAAATAAAACTAAATGAAATTGAAATTGAAATATGTTGCACAACTTTTTATGAAAGGGCTGAAATGTACATAGAGATCAATAAGTCAATACAAGCTGTAACATGACCATAAACCAATCACTTTTCCCATATGATAAACTTTCTGTGTTCTCTTACACAATGACTTATGGATACAGGACTTTACACACACACACAAAAAAAAAACTAAACATAGGTACTTCATTATACTCTCAAAAGTTATAGCATCTGCATTAACAAACTTCTCGTCAAAAGCTAATAACACAATATGATCTACAGTTACATTTTTCTCTGAAGAATTTGAAACATTAGTTCAAATAAGCTCTACAGTATAACACTGCCATTATATTCCTCAAATAGAATGAATAAAAAAATTTGTATTTACCTCATTATCATGGTAGCGAAGGTCATTCCTTAACCAGCAAAAGGCAACAGATTTGTTTGTAGCAACCATCTTCCCAGGTGTAACTTTGATACTGGATGCCTGAAAGAAGAAGTAATCTTTTACAAAAGAATAATGAAATAATGTTATAATAAACCATGATATGAAATCATTAAACTCAACAGGAAAACAGTGTTTTAACCCAGCATTAACAAAGATTTGCACATATGAATCTAGAAGGCCAATAGACTCCATTTTCTTTGATTTGATGATAAAACTTTCTCTCCTTTCATTCACATTCAACTTACAGGTGTCATAAATTATTTTAATAGTAATGTCTACACTATCATGAGTGTGGCAAAAATGGTGAGGTAGTAGAACCAATTATTAAACCAGTAACATTTCATTAAACACAAGTCTAACAAATCTATTGGAAGATTCTGATGAAGGTGATGCTGCTACAGATGACAGACTCAGACCTCTCCAAATTAGCATCAATATATTTATGTAATTATAACAGATCTCATGTTTTAATGCCACAAAGTGCTGATAAAAACATATAAAAAATATAAAGATATGTAACAATCTATCAATTTCATATCATCACACAATTTACACCTGCAATACAGATCAACTTCAATTCTCTGACAGGGATACACTAATCCTACAGAAGTAAATTGCTGTTAAACACCAATTAAACTAGCTACATGTTATTTTCGCTACAAATTCAAGATGCATGTTTCAGATGAAATCTACTGCTTGAACTTAAACTTGATCTTATTCATTAGCCTTTTCTAGTGCTTCTTCAACTATATCACACTACAGATCAATAATGAAGCTACAATATACATCCCTGAGTGGACAAACGAGAGTGCATTTGCCACTGAGCCTTCATCTTCTCATCACAACTTGTCCTGTACAGTTTGTAGTAATTTGGTTAATTGTTGAGGTATAAATGCACTAAACTTATTAAGGACAAATCTACAGTAAAAAAATTAATCTGCAAGCATGAATGGTATAAAGTAAAAAGAACGCTGAAAACACTACTCACAGTACCCAAAGTGCATACCCAGTCATGGCAATTTAGATGGTTGAAAAGATTTGTGACACGGAGTTGGGCAAGTAAAGAATTGCTGTTTATCATTTTGTTTCACAAAGCCATCCAACATTAAAATTATCAATGATTAATGGTGTAATCTGCATGAATCTGTTGTTGTTCTCCATCACAAGAGATCAATTTAGGAAGTACAAGATAGTATTAGCATTAGTTTATGATGTCACTACACCCTTACTCACAGAAAGTCCCTGTTACTCCAGCCAAAATACTTGGAGGTATTACTGGGAATCCACAACAAATACCAAATCCTTCCTGACCCAGGGCTTCCCCTTGGACCCCCACCCCATCTTAAATTCATAGACGTGGCTATTCTTACGACCTGATGTAACAAGCATTTATGGACTATTCCAACGACCTGGGGGAACTGGACCTGTACCGAAAATTTACCATATACACTTACTCTCCTGAAAATATATACACAAACCAAATAATAGACTCTAAACGTCACCTCAAGAAATTGCACATCCTACATCTACCTACATAGCTAATTACGTGTTCTCACCTCACGAAGTTTGGTAACGTTCTGGTGAAAATGGTTCCTCTGAAGCTTTAACACTCTCCCGCCGACGCTCCTACTACACGAAATCATATGAATAGACCTTCCTTCCGTTACAAATATCCACCCTTCAGATTTATAACTTGACTTCACTGTTACTTCAGACGGTCTTATGACAAAATAATTAGGAATGTAGAAACGCGTCTGCTCGTACCTAGACCTCCTTTCCCTCTGGCACGTGTGAATGGCCCGCCG